GAAAAGAAAAACACAACACTCGCACAACATATGTTAGAAAACAGTCACACAGCTGATCTTGCAAACGCCAGAATAATAGATGTAGAAAAGAGAGAGAGGACAAGATACACACTAGAGAGCCTTCGCATATTAGAGAATAGAAAAAGAACGATGAATACAAAAGAAGACACAGATGATATTGCGGCTACTTATTTATTATGTTTGTGACAAGAAAATCAGTATGACATGTGTACCAAACGATAATGGTACAATGCTCTAGCTTTTAAGTGTTTATGTTTTAGTGTTTATATGTTTATGTGTTTATATGTTAACAAATATACGTATATGAAAGTAAGTGTATATATTTGCTGCGTGATAAATTCAAATATTGAGACTTTATTAACTACATGTTCAATGTAACTTTTGTTCCTAATTGTTTTTGTTTGTATCTTCTTTTGTTTGTTGATTTAAAATAAAGATTGGCCCCTGAGGATGCTAAGGAGTTTAGCGAAACGTAGGGCAAAGCAGTGAAGAAAAAAACGTTGTTTTTACTTGCACTAATCACCAACTAGGCCAAAGAAGCTCATCATAATTAATAAAATTTACGAAGAAAATTGGCCAGAAAATAAGATATTATATTAAGTTAAATTTGACCATTTGAGCATTTTCGAATACAGCCAAATGCGCCGCGTAGGCGCTAGCTGTGCTAGGTTTACAATTTTCTCGCGTGTAAATGGGATGCTGTGGTGTGATTTGCAAGCACCACACAGAAATCAAACCAACATTTTGCAACATTTATTACGTTAACTGTAATTTTTTCGAATTACAAAGGTTGTATTTGGCTCTTTGCTTTTACTTACATTTTTTTTAATTATATTCTACCTTTGGAAAATAAAATAATATTGAATTAACTGACATTTTGCGCAGATGATGTCGATAAAAATACTTTAAAGTCGATACATATTTTCTCTTAATCACCGATGACCAGCTCATAGTTTATTTGAGCTCGCTTATTCAAACAAATTTCACAAAATTACCGCTCGCCAAGCAATTCTTTTATTAAAGAAAAACCTACGGTTAGATGAATAAAATTATTTTTTTCCTTATTATAATGTTGAATAACTTTGTCCACTTTGTAGGAGTTCAAACCTGGTGTCTATAAAAAAAGTCGCTGGTATCAAAATTAGGCCTTCCAAATCTAATGAAGCAACAAACAGCAAAATTTGTAAATTTAGGCAAGGCATCAAGTCACCTAATACCGCGACAAAGGGCAATCTATTTTAACAAACCACCATTTTGTAACAGGCCCTTTTGGCAAACTGTAAGACCTTATTGTACCCCATCTTAGCAGCGGATGCAAGATTAGGCAGAAAGCCTGGTCCTAATCATCAGTCTGCTAAGGGCAAGACACTTGCACAGAATATGCTCCACTATCTCCTCTTTCATTCTACATCTCCTACATGCCCTATCACTGGTCATAGCCAGTTTAAAAGCGTGCGATGTCAGCAGACAAATGACCTGTTAGAACACAAAACAGTAGTCTAGCGTCCTCTCAATTGAGGGATGGGGGAAACTTCGTTAGCTTTATGTCATAGACTCTGCACATAATCTTGGAAGCCTAGCAGCCCTACTTTTTGGCCAACACCTGCCACGCCTTCAGGATCATGGACCGGTCCAGCTCCAGTCTAATCACTTAGAGGGAAATTGGCACTTCTCTATTGGCATATCAACTGATTCCTTGCCTCATGAACAGAGAAAATTTATGTTTAAAACTTTTAAGAAAGTGCATTGCATACTGGTTTCAGTTCAAAAAGAGGAAAAAGAATTTAACACCTTCTTTATTTGAACTAACCCAGTAAGAGTGCACGTCAGTACAAGTATGTAGCAATTCCCGAGCTCTCCTGCACTCCGCAACCTTTCTTGAGGAAGGCCTGTGTGGTATATGCACCTTTATTACAGCCTGACTGTCAGTGTAACGATTCACTTATTTATTTACTAGATTGTTACCGATTTGTTGAGCTCGATCTCCGTGCAGACGACTGACGCGCCTACGCCTTTCTCCATCTTCGACCCACATATGTATGCAGCCGAGCGAACACTACTCTATAGGGGCTTCGAAGTTCATCTTAAAATGCAGATCCGGGATAATGCGTCCAAGTAAAGTGGATGCTATAATACTGTTTTTGAGGGCCTGCCCACAAACAACACCGTAACATAAAGCATGAAAATGAAAAGTGCTGCCGCTGGTGTAGTTCAAAGCGCCCCTGTCAAGCCGATCATTGATCGCCTGAATACACTTTCTTTTCTTTTAAGAATTGTTTTCTTCTCCATTGCTTTCCAGCAAATCAATAGGACGTAGAACTTTAACCCATGAGTAAGAGAAAGCGATACAACCCAGGTACATCCAAGCGAATCTTTTGCATGCATAAAATACCACGGTGACCTGCTTCGCTCTCTTCTCCACATTGAGGCGCCATGACAGCTTACTAGCGAGTATTATTCCAACGTATTTGGCGCTTTGCTTCACCTGACCCTCTAGGTCAGCTTAATCTTCGGAACCTTGTATTTCCTGGTGAAGAGTACCAGATCTATTATACTGCGTTGATACTAAGCCCCACTTCAGTTGCCCAAAGATGTATCTTCCGTAGTGGCAGGCCCACATTCCATTTGCTTAGTATCCTATTGATTACCAGTGACAATAGCAGTAGCGATAATTCGCACCTTTGCGGACTACCCCTGTTAACCGGTTTGTTAGTATCTTGCCTACCACATTGCGCCGCAACAATTCTGCGCAGCTCTGCATAGGGATTATCCAGTTCGAAATCACTATCGTCGTCATTCTGTATGAAATAGCTTGCTTAAAGCACAAACAGACGGCAACGTTGACAACAGGAATTAACTGCAGTTGATCCGGATTAAGTCCGAGCTAATCCGGATCAACGCTACCGTCTGTTTAAGCTTTTAGAGACATTTCTGTAGATCCCCGCTATGTCCAGAAATACCCTCACATCGAATTCTCTGCTATCCATAGCCGCCTCAATACACAACAACATTGTGTAGGGCGTTATCTACCAGTCTTCCCTTCGAGTAAGCGTGTTCCGCTTTTAGAGCATGTGCCCCGCAACGTTGTATTTCATGTATACGTCTATAAACCTCTCCAGGGTCGTTTGAAGAAACTATGCTACGCTAAAGGGTGTAAAGTTCTTTGTGTATGTGTGGCCACTTCTATCCACTTTTGGAAAAGAGACCAGATCAGCGTTCAAATATGTTGCGCAACCAGCCCCTGGTCTTTCTTCTGCAACTATACTGTGAAAAGGAAATCAAAGCTTATTCCAGACTTGAGGGCGTCACGTAAAATTTCGTATAAAATATGATTTTTGTTTTGTTTCGTCTAAAAAACTGTCATACGCTATAAAAAAACAGTACCAAAATAAAATCAGCAGAGGAAATTACATCGGTTGACAAGTGTCAAAATTTAAAAAAATCTTCATTTTCACAAAATATCAAACCAAGAACAAAAAATTTTACAGATTTTTAATAATTTGGAACTACCCGAAGCACTAATCGGCATCTGCAGCTGTAAACCCCCGGACAAAAGAGTAAGTTTGGATACTACAACGAAACAATATCGAAAAACAATTTTTTTCCTTTGCACAGCTTTTCTTCTAATAAACTTGAAAAACAAATTGCAATAAATTGGGTTGTGTTTGGTGTGCCTTGTCAAGATTGATGTCTTCAACGCGACGTTCACCGCGCCAACGCGACTTACAGGCCTTAGATCTACGCACCTACGATATCGGAGCAGAACGGCAGCTGCCACATGCGCAGGTAGGACGTTAAACGAGATATGTATGCTCGTGTATTTTTAATCCAATATTTGAAACAGTATTCAGTTAAAGATGCGCGCATGTCAGCAACGCCGCGGCCGCGGCCTACAACTCCGAAGCAACAATTGCAGCAGCCGAGGGCAGAATCAAGACTTGGGAAAGGAAATTCGGTGGGTAAAATGTTTACAATTTTTTTTTTTGTTTATGTAGAATTATGCACATACATATATCTCACAGAGTTCCGAGCAAAGCATTAACAAAGGCCTTAGTCGCAGCCAGACTATGATCGACTTGCCATCGCCGCGTGCCAATCCATTGAGGGTAAATATGTAGTAAATTGTGACCTGACGGTTTTTGTTTTCAGTTGTCCACAAAGTTGGTGACAACTGATTAACTCAACATTTTCAGCTTTGTCCCGGTTACGATCACTTTAGCGCTGAAGAGGAGGAAGTCAAGCAGTTTTATCGATCCCACGATCCGAGCATTGCATTTGACGAACTTGAGCTAGAACCACCGCGTCCGACTAGTCGACAAACAGCTCGCCTTTGCGCTGGCGCGCCACACAATAGCTCGCGTCCGCCTCGCAGTTCAAATGTTTCGCCGAATAATTACAACAGCAGGTCTCCAGATCAAAGCTCGCGTTTGCAAAATTTTTCTTCATTCTATCCACCCGGTGCAATGAGTGGGGTAAGCGAGTTTATTGTATGCTAAGTGTATGTAGGCCAGAGCTACATAGATGGTGTATCATCAGTTAAAAGATATTTTTGAGCGAACTCGCTTATAGCTTCGTATATTACCCAAACGAACATAGAGAGATCCTGTGCACACAACTCTTGCAGGGCAATTTTGGCTAAGATTTATTCCGGCCCGAAGGTGTTACAAAAAAAGCTCCCTTTCCAACTTTAATGATGAAAAGCTCTTTTGACAGAAAGCACTAGAGCATGTTCCAAATGTTTGGTCACGCTGCTCTAACAGTCGCAATGGACGAGCGAGGAAAACACTGGTGCACCATGCGGGAGATACGACGTTCGTATCTTAGGGCAGCGAAATTTTTTATTTTTTTAGATTGTATTGGTTTTTTTAGATTGACAGAAAAATAATTTGCTTTAATTTCATTTAATTTTTGTGTATTTGTTTTCTTTTTTTACTTTTATTTTTGATTTTTTAATTTAATTTACTTTTATTCTCTAAATTTTTCTGCATTAAAAAAAAAATAATAATTTCGTTTATTTTTTCCGCTCTTAATTTAATTTTCTTTTCATTTTTGGTGTTTATTGTTTTAATAAGAATTGTTTTATCCTATTTAATTTTTTGAAACTTAAGTTTTTCTCTTTTTTAATTTAATTTTTTTTAATTAATTTGTGTAATTTCGTTTAATTTTTAGAATTTTTTTACATTTTTTTGCCCTTTTTTTTTAGTTTATTTAAATTTTAGATACTTATTCTGTATATTTGTTTTCTTTTTGCTTTATTAATTTTTCTTTTTAAATTTAATTTGTTTTTAATTTTTAGATTTTATTGTTTCAAAAATAAAAATACTTTTTAATTTTTTTGTTTGATTTTAATATTTTAATTTTTTTTTAACAACAAATTGTTTTAATAATAATCCTTTTTATCACATTTAATTTAAAAGCTTAATTTTTTCTTTTTTATAATTTTTTTCAATGAAGCCTTTTTTATTTTTAGAAACTTATTTATTTTATTTTATTTTTTTCAATAATTTTCTTTTAATTTTTAGATTGTGTTGTTTTATTTGTTGTTGGGGTTAAAGTCGGCAAAGGTAGCATTAAAGACGAATCCGGTGAATGCGTGGGCAGAAGGGGAACTGACTCTCCCCGCTGGCATCACTGTGGGAGAGTGAGTGAGGACATACGTACAAATATATGTATATAGAAACCGAGCGAATATGCGTTATCATTTAGGACAGTTTACACTTTGGCTTCGGCCGCAGCCTATTTCTTTGCTTCATGAAGTTTCACTTCTTTCGCATTTAGGGTAAACACTCAGTTATTTTTTATGTGTCCAAAGTTATGCAGCTACAGAATTTCCACTTGCGAGGTGAATAAATTTGACGAAGCGAAGGAGCGCTAGTACAAGCGTTTTCGAGTTAAATTTTAGGTGTATTCACCAAACTTATTCGCTTTGCCAAATTTGTGCGAAAATTCCGATTACAAAAAAACTTCAATATTTCTTGTGTCTTCTTTGTTCTCTTCGAATTACTAGCCTGGTCATGATGCTACGGGCACTTCATATCCACCATCACCTCGACGTCATTCGGTAAATATGTATTTATCTCACAATTTCTTGCTAAAGAAATTAGCTAATTATGTTTTAAATATTTTAGTCTATGGAGCAGTATTCGAGCATACCACCAAGGCCACAGGTAATACCAATGCCGAATTTCCATTAGGCATTGAATTGACAAGAATCTTCTATTCAAAAAAATTATATGAGAAACCAGACTGTTTAATAGTCACTATTATTTAGTGCTGTAATAAAACAGATGTTTTCTCATCGCTATATTTGTTTATAAATAATGGCATGCATACTGTCTACATACGTGTCAATCCATGTCAAACCGACCAACGACCAACAAATTTTTTTATGCAATACCTCTAACATAAATAAAATAAACCGAAATTTTCAAAATTAACTTACAAATAAAAATTTGGAAAAATTAAAAAAAAAAACAATTCTGAAATTTATGAAATCATAAAAGCAAAAACTTGTCCAAATTTTTGGCTAAATTTTTTTTTTACACAAACCCTCTTACTGCACTTAAATCATCCTGAAAGCAAAGTGTATTTTATTAAGATATAGATAAATTTTTGAAGTACGAAAAAAAATTGCTAACTCAAACATACAAAAAAAATCTAAATGAAATAAAAATTTTGTAACATTAATTAATTTACATCCGATTTCACCAGCAAATTAAATGGAAAATGATTTTTTATTCTGTCAATTTCCATATAACATTCAAAAAATTTAAATTATTTTTCACTTAAATTGCTTTCGTGAAATTGGCTGTTGGAGTTTGCAAAAAAATTTGCTCACAATTAGAAATTCATATCTTTAAAAAAAAACTTTGAAATTTCAGAATATTTTAAGATCAGTTTTAAAGATTAGTTGTTTAAAAAAAAATTTCAATAATTTTTTGCTTAGAAATTTTTTTTATTTAAAGATCGGTTGGAGGTATTGTAAAAAAAATTCCACAAAATTTGTGTAAGTTATTTACTTAAAAAATTTTTTTAATTTCAAAATTATATATCTACATATGTTTTTGCGAAGTTTTTATACATAATTTTTTTCTTTGAAATTTGAATATTCAAAAACTATATTTTTTTTCTTTGTCAGTCGGAGATATTGTGTAAACAATTTCCAATTTTTGTAGAGTTTTTGGGACATTTAATAAAACAAACTTGCGAAATCACAGAAAAGTTCTTTTTCTCCAAAAATTTGTTATAATATATATAATATTTTTTGATAAAATAAAAGTTCTGAACACAATTCATCCAAATTAAAAATGGTCAATTCCAACCATGGTCGATTTGACATGGATTGACCCATATGTACATACATGCATATCACATTATTTATAAACTAAGACCGATTGATCCATATGTATTTAGGTACATATTTATAAGTGTAAAAAAATTATGACTTTTTATACCTTTTTAAGTCAACTATCTGCCCTTCTACGTCACCTTGGTTAATGCCGGTGGCACAATCATCGCCTATGAGACAGCCAACACCAACGCCAACATCCAATCGGGTTAGTATAAGTCAGTAAATTACCTGGTTTTATATGTTTACAATAATCAAACCGCCTATTTGTGTGAAAAAAATTACTAAATATTAATTCACTAAATATTTTAGATAGTCACTTTGTATTCATAGGGAATGTAAAAACATTTTATTCTCAAATATTTTCAGGATACTTCAAGCTTTCTATATGAGCCACCCAGACGTAACGATTATTCATCGCGAACGGTAATTATAATACGGAATTTGATATTTGAAAAAAAATCCCCTTTTTTACATGTCAAATTAAAAAATACCCACATTTACCTGTAGCCCATGAATAGCACACGCTATAGAGGTCTACCAGGGCAGCCCTTTAAGATGCCGGTAAATTTTACTAATTTAAGGAGCAAAAAATATTTTAAATATTTATTGCACATTTCACACGCTTAGGGCCTAGCACCACAAGCAATGGCTACGCAATGGATTACGCCACCAGGCAGGATGCCATTCCCATTTTTACAACAATCATCGTTGGGCCAGCCTAGGGATAATATTGTAAGCCCGTAGCTATTTTTCTACTATTCGTTTTTCAGTCATCTTGCTTTTTTACTTTCTTCAATTTCAAAACATTTTCAGCAACATAGCCATTGGGACCCATCATTACGTCCACCGGTATTTTACTTAATATAATAAATATATATGTACATATCAATATACTAATCGAAAATTATCTTTGCTCTAAAGGATATTGAACGACCCATGACGTACTCCCAAAAAGAAGAGGTATTTCACGCTAATATGGGCTTATTCCGACCCTCACCCATCCTGACTATTTATAACTATTTTTAAATGGTTTTTCAGCTTGCCTGCCCAACAGAAAGTCCGAATTTGCCTTGTGAGGGTGCCAAAAGCAATGAGGACAAGTTTACAGCACCACCACCGCGTTGTAGGGAACTTGATCCCGAAATTAGGAAGGTAGGCAATCTTCATATTGCATTTAAATATATAGATATCTGTGTGCGTCAATTAAAGCAATATTTTATTGGGTTTCCAAACGATAAATAATTTAAGATGCAAAAAATTTTTCAAGCAAAACATATTATTTTTTTTCTAATTCGAAGCCAAACCTTCTAAGGTCACTTAAGCTACTTTAATTGTTGGATACAGATATATGTATGTACTTATATGTAGCTTCAAATCCATTTAAATGAAATTCGTGTTCACACACAGAAACTATCCAGCAATTTGCCACCATTCAAAATACCACGCGGCTGTAAATATGAAACTGTGCCATTTCCGACCAAAGAAACATTCATTTTAAATCAAAAAACTCTTTACAGTGGAAGACGATTTCGTTTGCATTAAACGCCGCGAGCTGTGGGAGTCCTTAGTTAAAGATCAATATTGCCCAGGCGCCATACAAGCTACCATCGATGGCCATGTAAACTTCAATGCACTTGCCTACGATATTGTTTTTGGTGACTTTCGGCTGCCTGATTGCTTGCCGCACTTAGATCCGATTTCCCTGCTCGAAGCGTTCTTTATACGCATCAATTACGAACGCTGTCAAGTGAAAAAGTTGGAGGAATTAACTTATGCCAGTGCTGATCCAGATGATGAACAAAAAACTCCACCAACAAGTGTTGAGTATGTCAGCTGATTTGTAGTCGTAAATGCATTTTTAATCATTTCATTCGTATTTATGCACTGCCAGCTGTTCCATAATTGAGAAGTGTTTTAAGCACAAACATCCCACGGAGCTTAATGCAGCGATAGAGAAGCTTTTGATAGCAGAAAAACTACATGATTTTGACAAACCAGAACCGGTATGCAATTTCGGCAAATTTGTTGTTAAGTATTTCATTTAATGCGTTAGAAGTGGCGGTGAAAGCGTAAAGCTTTAGTTCTAATACATCGGTCGGGTCTGAATAACCACTTAAATTAGAAGCGAAGTTGACCAGCCGTAGCTTTCCTCGTGTGTCCGTTTAAGCCAGTGATATTCAGGGAGACAATTTTCTCTATGAGTGTCCACAGAAATTATATAGAACGTACACCAATGACGAGAGAGCTTTTGCTCTCTGCGTGTTTATATGAGACCCAGAGAAAACTCAAGGGAATTCGTCCGCCCTTCAATGTGGCCAGAGAGCTTTTACTCTGAGCTTATGCATATTCACAGATTCTCCAATCTTATTTTTTCCTCATCTCTGAGCCTGAGAAGTTTATCTGATCGTCACAGCATTAAAATCAACAGGAAGTTAGAGAGAACTTAACAAAATTTAAAAAGCTGCACGCGCGAGCCTATCAAGCGGTCGATTGTGATTTACAAAATAAAGCAGGCGATTTTTTTTTTTATAAACCGTACTTCGGAAAGCATTTGTAACTTTTCTATAGGTTTTACATATTTGTACAAAGCTAATTGGCAAAACTTTTTAAACTTTTATTTATATGGTCGCCGATAGAGTAAAAGCTGAAAGCTCAGAGTGAAAACTCGCTCGGGACATCATTGATCTAGAACTGCGACAACGGCAGAGAGGCTTTACTGCAGCGATGGGCAGAGAGAGCTTTTACTCTGCATGCGCCTACATAAAATGTATAGAAAGCTTAAAAGAGCTTTGCCCCCGCGCAAGGCAGTGGAATTTTGGTCATGATATAATCATTCAGATCATGGTGGTCGACTTTAAAGAAGCGCGTTTAGAGCAATTTAAGAACTCAATATATTTTAAAATAGAGTGTGAAATATTTTTTCTTTTAAATAAATAGGCACAGAGCAAAAGCTACATATCTCTAGCCCAACTCATAGGGTAAAAGCTCGTTAAAATCGTCACTGTGTCCATTTCCTAGGCTTATGTGAAACTGTTTTTTTTTAACTAAAATTTTATTCTAAAGGAGACTAGACTTTTTTAAATTCTTTAAACAAATAAGTTGAAAAATAAAAAGTTATAAAATATATACTATATAAATTTATTTACAGGAAATTCCATTAATGAATTTGACATTGGGTAAGTTAAGTACTGATTTGCCTGGTACACCCATAACCATACAAGCCTTCATGGGGACCACAAAACCGCGCGATCCAATTTGAAAGAAAAAATGCCTATGGCAATAAGTAATTGTTTTCAATAATATTTATATATGTACGTACATATGTATGTATGTATGTATAAACTTGCACATTTAAATAGTTATATTTTGCTATATGAATGTATGTTCCAAAAATAATATTGTTTTTGTAAAAAAATTAAATTAAATATGTAACGCGAATTACAATAAATTTCAAATATTTATGTTCATCACGAAGTGAATCAGACTTTGATTATTGTCTTAAGTTTAGTATCGAGCTCTCAATAAAAATCTCAAAAAAATGTACTTTATTCTTTCTGCCGCTTGAAAAAATAAGAGGCAAGCAAGGCATATCCAGTGGGTAGTGGCATTATGCAAAAACCACATTTACATATATTTTTTTGTTGCTCCCAGTAACTAAGATTCAAGCTTGATTTTCTAAAAAAATATTTAAATATAAAAATTTTAAGAATTGGTGGGACCATGATACAAAAAAGATGATAGTTCCATTGTCCCTTTTTCGTCGCCATATTCACAACCTGACAATTAAGTAGATTGTGACATTGTGACAACTGAAAGTATTTTAAATGTTTCGCGACTTTTTGAGATTCTTCGTATGTTTATCGATTTTTGGTAGCTGTCATAATCTATTAAAGCTTTCCGGTTTTTTTTTTATACTTGCGCGATTAATTTACACTTATTTTTTATGCATTTTTCAAGACCTTGAGATCGTCTGACTATTTTTTTTAATTTTTTCGAGACTTTTCGGGATTTTTTGAAGCTTTTTGGATTGTCGTGATCTATAGTGGCTTTTCAGCCAGATATCGTCTGACTATATTGTAAATTTTTTCGAGACTTCGGGATTTTTTTAAGCTTTTTGGATTGCCATGATTTATAGTGCCTTTTCAGGGTGTTAAGCCCAAAATACCATGAAAAGTCACGATCGATCATGACGGGATTTATTGACACTTCATTGGAGTTTTCAGGAATTTTTTGTGATCTTCATGAGCTTTTTCGAGGATCTCCGAATATTTTGGTACTTTATAAGCTTCTTGGGATTCTCGTGAAAAATTTAAGTAAGTCTGTGGAATTTATGTAGCACTTTTCGGGGTTTTTCTAATTTTTTTCGTTGATTTGTAGAATTTTCTATTTGGGATTTTTGGGACTTCTCAGTGTTTTTTTAGTTCTGCATCCCTTTTTAAAGTAAGGAGTTTTTAAACTAAGCTTTTTCATGGTGGTATTATGATTTAAATTTGCCATTACTTGTTCGCTATTAAAAAAAAATTATGTAAGTAAAAATTTTTCCTGCCTTAAATATTATCGATAAATTACTCGACTTCAAATCTATTCAACACTAGCTTCTTAAATTTGAAAACCATAAAAATTCAAAGTAAAAGAGAAACGTGTTTGACATTTTCGTATGCAGTTGTAAATATTTCAGAAGGCATAGTTTAATAAAATTTTATGGTGGAGAAGGGAAAAAATAAGAAACTCAAAATTCTAAATCATTAGTAAAATGGTAGAAGTAAGTACGAAATGCAAAAAAAAAATCATTACAAACCGCTTAACTTCACATTTCGCTTTTGCGTGATAGAATTATTGCAACAATGGAAGCACACGACGGAGTTTCCGCAGCAGCAGCGAACAACGCGGCTTTGATTGCAGGCCACAGGTAATGGCGGCTGTCTTTAAAAATCAACACCACAAAAGTTACACGCGATTTTCACACCTCCTCTCGCACACAGTTGCAGCAAAAAGCATTGTCGCTGCGAAACAGTTGCAGCGGACCTTCCACATCTGCAGCAGCAGCGGCAGCGTCAGCGCTAGAAAGTTACAATAACAGCAATTGCGCGCCGCCCAAGGTGAGTGCGTGTCAAACCACAAAATCTCGACACATTTGCATTCGTGTTCGCTCAAATGCCACTACTATTCACAGCCGCAAACATCGTCATCGCCGATACGTTACAGCTTGGGAGCCCAGCCAAAGATGCGCACATTTTGCTTGGAAACAGGCGCTGGTATGCTTACACCGGCAATGGCGGCAACAACGTCACAGGTGAGTAAGAACTGTCGAAATTGCGAAATTGCGAAATTGCGAAACTGCGTCGCAAATTGAAGCGCAAAAATTAAAAATTCAGCGCCTACCTTCAATCACAATTTAATGCCACCACCTCAATTCGAATTCAAACTTAGACACCGTACCCGATGTCACGCAACAGTTGTCGGCCATCGGCTGCATCTCTAATACGGGATCCTTGCATCAGCCTAAGCAGAAATTCGAATGCATCTTGTTGTTGCTGCCCACACTGCGGCAAACCACAAGACCCTACGCAAGCGGCACCACTAACGCCGCCGCCGCCGCCACCACCTTTTCAGCTACCAAAGCGCACACTGCCATGTAGACCAAAGCCACAGCCACCAAAGGAGGAGAAGCCGTCACGTAAGTGTGCGAAAGGGGGAGGGAGGGCTTTTTTTTTTTTTGATTATGGGAGTGTGTTGTCAGTTATTCTACAAACTCTTAAGCGTATGCGTACAAATCTCGCACACATATTTCCGTTACAGCCGAGACGGAATTCAAGTGCCGCATGCGAAAATTGCAACTGGAAAATTTGGTCAAAGACCAATACTGTCCCGGTGTCATACAGAGTACAATCGACTGTGAAGAGGACTTCAATGAAATATCGTTTCGTTTGGTATTCGGTTGCAATCCACCGCCCTGCACGCTACCGCCAGTCGAACCAATTTCTCTGTTGGAGGCGCTTTGTATGCGTATCGAATTGGAGCGTTGTTTGCTCAACAATGAGGCATCCTATGCGGAGGCGAGGCGAGAGTCGAGACGTGACTCGCCGGAGATGGATGAGTAAGTGCGCGTTTGTTAGTTAACTTAACAAGTGTTAGGAGTGCGCCATCCTCGTCACGTTGTTTCTTTTTAATTGACAGAGTGGACGCTTTTTTCGATAAAAAGTATAAAACGCCATTGAATGAAGCGCTGTCGAGTTTACTGAAGGCGGAAAGGTATTTCAGTATGGAAAACCCGAATGAGGTAAGCAAATTATGCAGGCATTTGATAAGCTTTAAATGCTCTCAGTAGGAAAATATAATAGTACAATATATGTACACACATAAGGCTAGGTTAGTTTAAGATGGTTGCCTCTTGTCAGGGAGCTCACTTAGACCGTTAGCGCTGGTCGTTTGCGTTACCGCAGCGACTAATAACTGCTAAGTTAAAGCGATAATCACCCCGTGCCGAGAACGAAGTTTCGCAAGCGACAGATGTTTGTCTCGGAGAGCTTCTCCGAACGAACATAACTGCGTCGGCCGCAATTTAGCAGAAGCTGAGCAGTCTTGGAGGAAGTTTTGAGATGATTCCACCTCATAGTCTTAGATGCCGCTGTGGAAAAAGTGGTGTGTTGTAATATTTAATATCGCTGCCAGTACACCCACCACAATCAAAGAGATCCGGCTTTGAAGCTTTAGGAGATCCCTGGGAGAACCCTGACTTGACCTCAGGCCCATCTTTCCAAGAGAAGTTCTGAAATAGTTAAGAAAACTCCTAACCTCTTCCTTCTTGGCAAGGGTGTCACCTCTGGCCAGTTCAGCAGCCTGCGATATCGTCATGGATTGGCACCCAGACCAGTCCGACAAGATAATTTGTACTGCAACACAATTAAAAGTGAATTAAGGCATTCCACAAAAAGCTTCGAGCGTACCGCAAGTGCGCCCGGGGCTCTTATTACCGCCTGGCTGATTGATAGATGTTAACATCCCTTAACGCGATGGCGCACAATACCAACCAATCGGCTGCTTCCTGAATACTCGTACCAGCAACCTCCGACTGCAAAACACTACGGCGATCTGGAAACCTAAAGTTAAGGTTGCTGGAAAGCTCCCTGGAGAAGACCTCTTCACCGACCCTTCCGTCAAGCTTCGACCCATCCGCGTAAAGGATCACTGACTTTTTCCAAGCACTGTCCCACGTCCACTCATCCCTCGATTTTATGTGCGTGGAGAAAGAGCCAGCTGATACCAGGCTAGATACGCAATAATCCGTGTTATCACGCATGAAATCGAAGCTTCCGAGACGAATCCAGACCACGAGTTAGTCAGGCAACCGGTGTCCCTAAATCTGACTGTCACCATTGCTGCAGCCGCATTAGCTGCAATATCGGCAGGCGCTATGTTAGGTATGGTTAGGTGGGGCTCCTTATACCTCCTAGTGCTTAAAACGAGTTTCCGCAGTTCGCAGACCATCAAATCACCAGGGTAAAGTATCGTTGAGTTAAGACGCAGATGGTATCCACAAATTTCCCCCATACTAAAAGTTCCACATCATCTGCATAGGAAATTGCGAAGGGGCAAGAGGAAAGAACCCTGGTCAGCCCCTTTTTACCCTACGATGGACGGTGGCGCCACCCTATTCCGCCGGGAAAACTGGATCATGGATTATGCGGTGTATCAGCCTGCCAGGGTCAGCTTTGACTACGAGCTTACTCAGGGACCTGACTATTGCCCCCGGTAGTACGTTGTAAAGTCTTTATGTATGAATAGGAACCTCGTAATTACAAACTGGGCATGTTTTTTTTAATATACATATCGCCTCGACTTCAGCCTAATTGGCTTTTTTATTCCGGTATCATATACGGTATTTCTACGATAAGGGGTAAGTATTAGGTTCGGTGGCAGTTTCTTATGGATCAAGACCTTTATGCCCGTTGTAGATGAATATGTTTCTATCAGTAATTTCTGGTAAGAATTGAATTGGTTATCAGAACGTCTAGACTCTTTAGATTAAGAGAAGACTTTGAACGTTAAGCATTCTTAGTACTAGTGTACTGTAGCACTTCTTCAATACAGCCAAGACCAGAAACTAGTCGATAAAGATCACAGAAAAGTTAATTGGTAAAATGAAAACGCCTCTTTGTGCTAAGAATTCTCCAACATCATATTAAAGAAATCACACGAAAGGTTTGGTCTGAAACGGGTCGGATAGGTTCTTCCCAATTATAATGGAGCGTGTGGTGT